TCCTCAGCCAGCTTTGCTTTGCTGGCTGAGGAATTCTGGGAGTTGAAGTCCACAAGTCTTAAAGTTGCCAAGGTTGGACACCCCTGCTCTAAACCTTTTCCTCTGGTTTTCTTTTTTCCCTTTCCCCTGATTCCTGAAGCTTCTCCAACTGGTAGGAAAAAACAAGCATATATTGGTCAGCATATCGTTTCTGATTGATAAATCATGATTCTGTAGCATGTGCTAACTTTATAAACTATATTTCCAAATGCACTTTTAACATCTTATCTCTGGTTTCTTTACTGGGCACCCTCCTTCTTTCCTTCCTTATTATCTTTGGCTATCTCATTAACCATTGCTGGACATAGATTCTTTAATACACTGATTAGAAATGAATGAGACATAAAGCGCAATATTTACTAGAACTCTCTGAACTTCAGCAACAATTAACCATAATGGGAAATCCTGTAGGATATATCAGAATTCTATCAGTCTCTGTTGCCTAACAATAAATAATTTAGGTACATATCAAGCTATTAAGTTGCTGCATGCTTTAAAAATGGTTTGGAAGAAGTCCTTTGCACCTGATTACATGATTAACAGATTAACAGAATTGGAAGGGACCTTTTAGGTCATCTAGTCCAACCCCCCCACCCAAGCAAGAGACCCTGTACCATTTCTGACAAATGGCAGTCCAAACTCCTCTTAAAAGCCTCCAGTGATGACGCTCCGACAACTTCTGAGGGCAAGTTGTTTCATTGGTTGATTGTTGTCACTGTCAGAAAGTTTCTCCTTATTTCCAGGTTGAATCTCTCCTTGTTCAGTTTCCATCCATTATTCCTTGTCTGTCCTTCAAGTGCCTTGTAAAGTAGCCTGAGCCCCTTCCTCCCTGTGGCAGCCCCTCAAATATTGGAAGACTGCTATCCTGTCTCCCTTGGTCCTTCTCTTCACCAGACTAGCCATGCTCAGTTCCTGTAACTGTCCTATTTGGTGTTTGTGTTTGTCTTCCTTCCCATCCCTCTTACTTCATTATTTGATTTTCTTTCTGGGAGTTTTTGCTTGGAATTAGATCCTGGAGATCCTAAAGTCTGGTCACCCCCACCCCCCCACCTGCCTATGCAGAATCCTTCTCTTATTCATGACAGCACATCTTTGTTGAAGCTTCCTGAGACAAAGATTGTGCTGCTGTTTCTTCGAAACAAATAATTACACGCAACTTTTAAGGCGGCTAAATCTCAGTACCATATAGAAGCCTGGAAAAAGTTATCTGTGCTTTAAGAAAAGACAGAGAGGGGCTGGATTTGTGAACCCAGCCTTAAGAGCCATTATGTACAGCTAGCTCTTCCATATATGCCAATTTGGCATAGGATTTTAAAATGCTGGCCTAAAAACCAGGAGACTGAATTTTAATCCTGCCTCAAAGCTGAAAATTGGCTGGGGACTTAAGGTCCAGTCACTCTGTCTCACAGTCCAACCCACCTCACAGATAAGAGGATGAAAAAATATTACAGATGTTTGCTGCCTTGAGTTGCTTATAAAGTAATAAAGGTGGAGTAAAAACCAAATAAACAAATAAATCCCAATCCTTCTAGGCAACTGAGAAATACAAGCTTCGAGATGTGCTCATGATTTGAATGAATCAATCTTGATGTCTGTTTCTAGAAGGAAGAAATTTTTGGCAGCTGCAAAATATGTTCAGTACATATGACTTTCTAAACATTTGTTTTAAAAGTCTTCTTTATCTGTTCACATAATTTTATTCTTTTTTTTTAATTGGGAATGAAAATGGCATTCAACTATTAACCTTAATAATTGCAGCTAGCATTAATAAGCGCTTACTGTATATTAGTTTGATTTTAAATGTTATATTTATTTTCAAAAGGAAAAAAGTTAGTTTTATTTGTTGCATTAGGACAATGAATCCCAAATCAATAATCAGAAAACTTTCAATTAGTATTTATTTTCTTCCTATCACATAGAAGACACTGACTTCTGAAGGAAACACTATGATTGCTATCTGTTCTTTAGCTATGCCTATTAACCAGCTTTCTGTGCAAAAAGTAAGGCCGGCTTAATAATACAGTGAGATCCAAAAGAGAGCAAAATGACCACGGTTGTGACCTACAGATCAGAGAAAATCATCTGTCCCTTAGATCCAAAATTACTCTGTAATTGGTGTTTTTGTGCAGTTCAACCTTCTATACTTCTGGCAAGGTCCTGCATGAGTTACTCAACACTTATGGATGATATATGTAGATATTGGGAGAGAGCATATGTTGTGAAAATTTAAGGTGCAATGTTTCTGAGTTGTCTCTCGTTCATATCCCTGATTGTTATGCCAGATTGCATATAATGTGGCCGAGCAAACATCACAGGTTAGCAGCCAACAAAAATAGCGTCATACTTGAAGCAATAATATTTTTTTTCTTTCCTGTGTCTGCGGCATTTTGTAAACCTCAAGTATCATGTTTTAATAAATGAAGGCTGACTACACATTCTATTGCTCATGAAGCACCAATATAGCATCCTGATAATGCAATGATTGTAGCACTATCATGGTTCAGGCAGATTAAGGGTAGGGCTTGATTGGGGTGCTGCATTTATCAGTGTGAAAACCACATCACCACCACAGGTTGGCTCTCCTCCACGGATGCTACTGTCCTATTTCCTGAAGGGTTATTGGCTTGTATGTATTTCTCCCAAACTCTTAAGAATTTCTTCTGTACTTGATGATGCTGTTTAGTCTATATAATGTTTAGTCAGCAGTTGTATTTCTGATCATGAATTGTATAGGTATTTTATGAGTGGTTACATACCCAAGTGCCCATAATGCACCAAAGAGTCCAGACACCAATCCAAGCAAGTTTAATCCTTCCTCAAATCCATTCTCACTGTAGAAGGCAAGACAGAAATCCAGAGTTATTTCCAAGGACAATATTTGCATTTATAACTACAAAACATTTTAGAAGGCAATCATCACCAAAAAATAATTATATAGTCCCAAACCAGCAACATCTGTAACAGAACCGTTTGTCTTTAAATGTAGAAAAGAAAAATATCAACGGTTGTCTCTCCTCAAAACAATATATTCAGCATTTAAAATCTTTTCAGTGATTTGGTTCACAAATTGAGCTCTGCCATGGTTTGCTTAGAATAGAATAACACAGTTGGAAGGGACCTTGGAGGTCATCTAGTCCAACCTCCTGCTCAGGCAGGAAACCCTATACCATTTCAGACAAAAGACTTTTCAGTCTCTTCTTAAAAACTTCCAGTGTTGAAGAATTTACAACTTCTGGAGGCAAGTGGTTCCACTGATTAATTGTTCTAACTGTCAGGAAATTTCTCCTTAGTTTTAGGTTGCTTCTCTCCTTGATTAGTTTCCACCTATTGCTTCCTGTCCTACCCTCAGGTGCTTTGGAGAATAACTTGACTCCCGCTTCTTTGTGGCAGCCCCTGAAATGTTGGAACACTGCTATCATATCACCCCTAGTCCTTCTTTTCAATTAACTAGACATACCCAATTCCAGCAACCGTTCTTTATATGTTTTAGCCTCAGTCCCCTAATCATCTTTGTTACTCTTCTCTACATTCTTTCTAGAGTCTCAACATCTTTTTTATATTGTGGCAACCAAACTTGGATGCAGTATTCCAAGTGTGGCCTTACCAAGGCATTATAAAGTAGGCATTAAAACTTCATGTGATCTTGATTCTATCCGTTTATGCAGTCTAGAACTGTGTTGGCTTATTGATTATTATTTCTGGGTTTGGCCAAGGGACAAACTTAATCTTCTTAAGGATAGTCAAAGATTTTTTTTCAGATATATGGGATGGCAGTTTGTGAAAGTGGGGGTATGCTTTGTTTAGATTGATGGGGATTTTCTTACGTTTCTTTTCTTCATGTGTTTATCAATTCAAACATAAGGAAACTGCCATTAGGTTTCAGCTGTCATAAATGGGGGTCACCGAGGCAAGAAAGAGAGACAGAGCACATGTGGCCATGGATTGGGATGTTTATTCCAGTTTATTGAATAAATAGGGATTAACCAAGTATGTACAACACGTTGGTCCATGGACCATGGCATGCAGACATTTCCATACATTATTCCTGAGCAGCATGATGTTGTCTTGTAAATTAAATGGAAGCCATGGATGTACCTTTGATAAGTAAGGCAGGTCATTATCCAGGGCAGGGGGAGAGAGAGAGAAGAAAAGGTTCTAAACAGAGACAATGCCATAATTTGATTTAATAAGTATATCTGTCTTTAAAGCAGAGGTCTCCAAACTTGGCAACTTTAAGACTTGTGGACTTCAACTCCCAGAATTCTGGGAGTTGAAGTCCACAAGTCTTAAAGTTGCCAAGTTTGGGGACCTCTGCTTTAAAGCAATCCTAACAATCTGATGTAGTTGTTAAGGCATCACGCTCAAGACCAGGAGTTCTAGTCCCAATCTGAAGGCACAGAGCCAGGTGGGCTTGGGCTAGTCACTTTCTCTCAGCCCTAGGAAGGAGACAACGACAAACCACTTTTAAAAAAAAACTTGCCAAGAAAACTGCAAGGACTTGTCCAAGCAGTACCCAAGAGTCAGGCATGACTGAAGGGAAGCAGTGGGGGCAAGGGGTGGGTGGGAGAGGGCATACAACTGTAGTTAATGATTCTAGTCTTTGAGGATAAAGAATAACATAAATATGAAGAGAAGATCACTTACTATGCACTATTGATTGCTTCAGGGTATATTGGGATGCCAATCATTGAAAGAGCAAAACCGTTCAGGACCATCATCAGAATGAAAAGCCAAAGCTGACTGCAAAATCACAAGCACAGACACAACGCTTCATTTCAGCTGTAATTCATGGTATCTCTCTGCCATCTGTCATTTATATTTAAAAGGCCACCCAATTCACAGTGACCTTAGAGCAAGGGTGTCAAGGCCCAGGGGCCGCATCTGCCCCATTGGGTGCTTAGATCCAGCTTGTGGGGCTACCCTGGAAACAGCAAAGGGTCAGCCCGTGGTGCCTTTGGTAGCAAAAACGGAGCTCGCGAGGGCTGCATGTGGCTCTCCCAAGCTCCGGTTTCACTGGCAGAGGGTTGCAGGAGGCCGTCGCAGCTGAAAATGGAGCTCAGGAGCCCGTTTTTTGCTGGCAGAGCGCTCAGGCCACCTCAGGTGCCCCTGACACAAGTGACATTGAGCGGGGCACACACACTCGGCCATGCACCCATGTCCTGTCCCACCCGAGGTCAAACCCTGATGTAGCCCTCAATGAAATCAAGCTTGACACCCTTGCCTTAGAGATTTAGAAGCCCCCACTTCTTTTATCTCTTAAGTGTCATTCTCACTGGCTGCAATAACACTACACAAGCTCCCTTCCATTAGTCAGGACTGCTATGTTAAACCACTCAGGTTTCATGCTGGTGCTATCAGGACTCTAAATCATTTTAAAAATATTCTGCCTACTCTGGGTCACTTCAGTGAAGATCTGCCAATTAAGGTTTCAATTAAGATTGCCAGCTACAGAAGCCCTCCACTAAACAATTCCCTTACTGATGGGCCCTCCCAATGTTTCATGCCTGGAAAATAATTGACAATTGTATGTACTCATACAGGGGTGGGATTCTACCAGTTCGCACCTATTCGCTAGAACCGGTTCTTAACATTCTAAGCAGTTCAGGGAAATGGTTGTTAGAAGAAATTACTGGCCTAATCCTGTAAGGAAGGCAGGAAGGAAACATTCTGGTGTTGCTTACAGAAACTTCCTCTCCGTTAACCTTTATTACATTCTTGGCAGGACTAGACTTCCTGTCTCAGGAACCTCTCTGGAGTCTTTTTCCCCTTCTTTGCTGGTACTCTGCTTGTGTGGAATGACCATTCAAAGTTACAATGGCACTGAAAAAAGTGACCTTTGACTGTTTTTCACACTTACGACTGTTGCAGCATCCCCACAGTCATGAGAGGCCAGGCGAGGAGATGCATGCTTCGATGTGAGTGATATTGAGTTGGCCACACCCAGCCAGTCACATGACCACCAAGCCACACCCACCCAGAAACATGACCAAGTCACGCCCACTAACTAAGCCACACCAACAGAACTGGTTGTTAAAAAATTTGAATCCCACCCCTGTACTCATAAGCATATATTTAACTAAATTAAGCTAAATCTATATATACATTAAAATATCAAAATACACATGTACGCAGATACAACAACCAACCTTTAAATAAATAAAATAACCATTTCTTGGATTTTTTCCAGATTTGGCTCAACAATGTTTGACGCAGCTACTAATAAAAATAGTCTCTCAATGGCATAGTTCTGGCAGACATGCAGAAATTCACTGATTCAAAACTTAGAGCAGGCATTTTTTTTTCTTTTTCTGAGCTACATTTCTTAGTCTTGGGCTTTTTTTTGAACAAAGTCACTGGTGCATCTTTTCATTATTTTTCATGTTATCGGAGATGAGAGTTTCATTCCACTTCCCCAAATAGTAGGAAGAGAAGGGAAGGGAAGGGAAAATGTGCTGCAGCCAACTTCTCGTGGCCAATTTGCCCCTGGCCAACTCACTGCAGCCAGATTGCCATGTGATAACTCACCATGGACGATTCAAAAATTCACTTTAACAGGAAGCATCATTTTGACATTTTGTTCCTCTTTTGGCATTCTTTCTTTAATGATTCTATTCAATGGTTTCTTTGATATTAATGTAACTTTTGTCCCAAGGCGAGTTGCCTCATGATGAGCTGGCCACAGTGAGTTGGCTGCACCAGATTGGCCATGGTGAGTTGTTATAGACCAGGGAAGGGAAGGGAAGGGTGGTTTTGCTAAGTTTTAAGCCAGTGACCCTCTGTATGTCAGAGAAATATCCTAATCAATTTGCAACTGGAACATCAGCAATAATAGTAGCCGGAACAGAGCTTAGAGAGATTAGTGATCGAGATGAGATGGTGTTCTCCAGCAACTATGCACTGTAGCTAATTAAAGTACAAAGTTTTTCCAGCAAGAATAAGAAACCAGATAGCAATAGTTGAGCTGGCACAAGCTGGAAAACAGCCCTTTATGCACAGAGCAAGAAATAACAAGCAGAGTTTGCATTAACAATTGGCTAAGGATGGATACAGGATGACATTGTTTGTTCCTCTTTTCCAGAAACAGGGCACATTCAGAGGAACCACCTGCCCTTAGATTAGCAACTCCATTTCCAGACTGATCATAATTATTAATATATTCCTATACTATTGAAGCTCAAAGCTGCCTAATTTTTGATTTCCTCAAAGATACCTCCTGAGCTTCCATTCATAACCATTATTTAATTCTGAACAATGTTTTGCTAATGAGTAACTAGAAACATGTTTCTTACTGCCCAGGAGTAAGGATGAGAAGCAGGAAATGGGACTTTAAGCTGCAGGAAACTATGTACCTTTGTAGGAAGGGAAGTTTAGTGACTAGCACATGGATTAATCCCTGACTCTCTAATCATCTATTAGAGCCCTGATACCTGCTGGCTTAAATGGAAAAGCATGCAATTTTCTAATTCCCTTCATACAGGTAGTCCTCAATTTATCATCACAACTGAATCCAATTGAAACATTTGCCCCATTTTACAATCTTTCTTGCCACAGTTGTTAAGTGAATCTTTGCATTTGTTAAGTTAGTAACATGGTTGTTAAGTGAATCCGCCTTCCCCATTGACTTTGCTTGTCAGAAGATCACAAGGGGTGATCCCATGACCCCGGGACACTGCAGCCATCATAAATATGAAGCGCCTGAATTTCGATCATGTAACTATGGAGATGCTACAACAGTCATAAGTGTGAAAAATGGCCCTAGGTCACTTTTATCAGTGCCATTGTAACTTTGAATGGTCACCAAATGAACTGTTGTAAGTCAAGGACTGCCTATATTGCTCAGGCATTCCCAGAAACACCACTATTTTCTTTCCAAATAAAAAGTGGAATAAAATGAGATAATAGCAGAATTGCTGATCTGGAAGTTCAATGTCTCTAAGCCTTCCCATTCACAGGTAAGGATAGAACAGCTATTATTCTCTCCACAGGCTGAAGAAAACATCAAAAAAGAATAGTAATGCCAGGCAGCAGAGTTCATTTATTGGGGTAGAAAAAATTGATATTACTAGTTAATACACAGCCCTTTCTTTATTGACTCGATGAACAGGAAAACTTCAGACCAGGAAAATTGTCAGCGGAGAAGTTAGTGAAGTATAACTCACCTTTCAATATGCAAGATGGGAGCTGGCCCTAAGAAAAAATAGCATAATGTGGTCAGAAAAGCTCCAACGATTAGCAGCCATTTCCTTAAACTCTGCAAGAGATAGACAAAGAACTTGATCCTCATCAAAATATCATGTTTGAATAAACTGGATGCATTAATTCAACCAATAGGGAATAAACTGAAATAACGGAGAAATCTCACATTAGATCATTTCATGTATTCAGCTCAACCAGAACCTAACATTCATCTTCATGTTCTTTGAGAAGAGGTAACCAACCCTCTGAAAGAGGTTACTTTTTCAAGAGAAAGGGGTGACTAGGGAAAACAGCTTCTCTTTCTCCCAATGAAAGTGTCTCACCAGCAAACTGGTTCTTCCAAACATTAGGATTCAACTTGTCTGTTCTCAGATAGGAGTCCTCCTGCCCGCTAAAATGTAAAACGTATGGCTATGACGTCGGCAATGGCTTTCCAAGTTACCAAGAGCTGTGCTATTGGCAATCTTTTTGCTATGAACAAAAACAAAAGTTTCATCACATCTATCACATCAGAGTTGGGACTCTTTGTCTGGATGACAAACCAGCTCTACAGTTCTTCCACACATTACAAATATATTGTATTATTATTTCTTACCATTTCTTGGCTGAGGAAACACATTAGGCAGAAACACGTCTTCATAGTTGATCTATGGGATTTGGTAAGATCCAATGTCAACACAAGGATTTCTATTATTTGGCTTCTGAAGCATGTCAAACTTAAACACCAATACTGGATAATCACAACTGGCAAATCCAAAGAAGTTTAAAAATTGAAATAAGGATGGGGTAAGATCTTGTACTCACCGGCTTTTTATCACTTAGAAAACCAAGAAGTGGTGAAGATAAGGCATAAGGGAGCGCTAGGGCCAGAAAGACCAATCCCACATATCCCACTGGCAATTTAAACTATAGAAAGAAAAATCAATATTCTTGTTAGGGCATAAAAACAGAATACAATATTAATTCAATCAGTGGTGGGATTCAATTGTTTTTACTACCAGTTCTGTGGGCATGGCTTGGTGGGCATGGCAGGGCAAGGATACTGTAAAATCTCCAGTCAGAGGTGGTTTTTGTAGGTTCTCCAAACTACTCAAAATTTCCACTACCGATTCTCCAGAACTGGTCAGAACCTGCTGAATACCACCTCTGAATTCAATACAGGTAGTCCTCGACCGACAACAGTTTATTTAGTAACTGTTCAAAGTTACAACGGGATTGAAAAAAGTGACTTTTTAATGACTTTTTCACACTTATGACCATTTTCCACATGACGATTGCGGCATCCCCACAATCATGTAACCACAATTCAGGTGCTTGGCAACTGATTCATATTTATGACAGCTGCAGTGACCCCAGGTCACCTGACTGCCTTTGGTTTCCTTCTGATGAGCAAAGTCTATGGAGAAACCAGATGCACCAAATAATTGTGTTACTAACTTAACAGCTGCAGTCATTCACTTAACAACCGTGGCAAGAAATGTCGCAAAATTAGGCTTGAGTCACTTAACAACTGCCTTGCTTAGCAACTGTCGTTAAAATTAGGCTTGAGTCACTTAACAAATGCCTTGCTTAGCAATGGAAATTTGGATCTCAGTTGTATTTTTAAGTCAAGGACTACCTGCATTGGCCATGTGGCTGAAGATAAATCACATTCAATGTATTTCATGTTAGTAATGTTCTCCTTATGTTGTTTTAAAGCAGAGGTGTCAAACTCAATTTCATTGAGGGCCACATCAGGGCTGTGTTTGACCTCGGGGGGGAGGCAGGGGTCTGCCAGCGTGGGAGTGGCCAGCTTGATGTCACTTGTGTTGGGGTGCCTGTGGTGGCCTGAGCACTCTGCCAGCAAAAATGGGCTCCCAAGCTCAGTTTTTGGCTGCGACGGCCTCTCTTGGAGCTCAAGGGGAGGGGGCACATGCAGCCTTCCCGAGCTCCATTTTTGCTGGCAGAGGCACCGTGGGCTGGTCCTTCGCTGTTCCCTTTGCAGCCCCATGGGCCAGATCTAAGCACCCTGTGGGCCAGCCGGCCCATGGGCTTTGTGTTTGACACTCCAGTTTTAAGCAACATAATTTCTGAGGCATGAACTTATTTATATTTTGGAGCCCATATGACCCTTTGGGACAGCTAGTTAGAATTACAATGTAGGAAGAGACATCTAGAAATGTAGCAACTATTAGAAAGGTTAAAACAAACTGCTAATATTTGTTACACACCCATGATTTAGAAATCATTTATCAAATCTATAAAGCTTAACAGGTTATTTCAGAATGAATAAGATGGATCTAAAAGAATTTTTTTGTACCTACTTTTTCCAAGACAAATAATGACATTGTAGGATCTAGAAAGGCAATACATGAACTTAGTCCAAATATATTTAGACAAAGTATTGCAACTTTTGGTAGAACAATAAGCTTCAAAAATGAATCTTTCTTAGGAACTGAATCTGTAATTAGAAAAGCATAGAATATAAAATTATTATAGTAACTAATCTATACAACTATTTTATACATTAAAAGATACTAGTCCTTGCCCTGAGTCTACAGTCCTAAATTCAGGTAAAGAAGGGGAAATAGCCTTTCCATGTTAATATCTAACCATGCTGATGCAGGCTTACACACAAATGGTATTTATCATGCATTTTTCTTATAAACAAGAATATAAACCATTTAAAATAACAGTTATGAGCAGGATTAATGTGTCAGGACAGAAGGTAGCACCCTGTATACCATATATATTAAAGTAGCAGGAATGACTGGCATATTAATGTATATGAATAATGATAATAGTTAGAAGTTATCACGCCCAACTAGAGTTCTTGTCCTGATATCACCTTCAGTTCAGCCCATTTCTATACATTTCAAATGTTAGAAGTACCTGATGAACTTGTTTATCAGAAAGGCCAACAGATTCCATTAGCAACAATGCCGTTACAATTAATGTTCAACACCATAGAAAATTATAATTAGACTTTCCTGCAGAACACACCTATCAAAAATTATCAATGGAAATCAAATTTAGCAACCCATGGAGGTCTGGATTTGGAGTTACACTCAAAATTAAAGTGGAAAAAAACACTACAGGCTGATCCAACTTTGATGTAATGTCCTTAAAACAAGTCAAAATGAGGCTCAGTAGTGTGTGTGGCCTCCACGTGCCTGTATGACCTCCCCACAATGCTGGGCATGCTCCTGATGAGGTGGCAGATGGTCTCCTGAGGGATCTCCTCTTACACCTGGATTAAAGCATCCCCCAACTCCTGGACAGTCTGTGGTGCAACGTGGCGTTGGTGGATGGAATGAGACATGATGTCCCAGATGTGCTCAATTGGATTCAGGTCTGGGGAACAGGCGGGCCAGTCCATAGCATCAATGCCTTAGTCTTGCAGGAACTGCTGACACACCCCAGCCACATGAGGTCTAGCATTGTCTTGCATTAGGAGGAACCCAGGGCCAACTGCACCAGCATATGGTCTCACAAAGGGTCTGAGGATTTCATCTCGGTACCTAATGGCAGTCAGGCTACCTCTGGCAGGCACATGGAGGGCTGTGCGGCCCCCTAAAGAAATGCCATCCCACACCATTACTGACCCACTGCCAAATCGGCCATGCTGGATGATGTTGCAGGCAGCAGAACGTTCTCCATGGCGTCTCCAGACCCTGTCACGTCTGTCACATGTGCTCAGTGTGAACCTGCTTTCATCTGTGAAGAGCACAGGGCGCCAGTGGTGAATTTGCCAATCTTGGTGTTCTCTGACAAATGCCAAACGTCCTGCACGGTGTTGGGCTGTAAGCACAACCCCCACCTGTGGACGTCAGGCCCTCATACCACCCTCATGGTGTATGTTTCTGACTGTTTGAGCAGCCAAATGCACATTTGTGGCACGCTGGAGGATATTTGGCAGGACTCTGGCAGTATTCCTCTTGTCCCTCCTTGCACAAAGGTGGAGGTAGCAGTCCTGATGCTGGGTTGTTGCCTTCCTACGGCCTCCTCCACGTCTCCTGATGTACTGGCCTGTCTCCTGGTAACGCTTCCATGCTCTGGACACTACACTGACAGACACAGTAAACCTTCTTGCCATAGCTCGCATTGATGTGCCATCCTGGATGAGCTGCACTACCTGAGCCACTTGTGTGGGTTGTAGACTCCGTCTCATGCTACCACTAGAGTGAAAGCACTGCCAGCATTCAAAAGTGACCAAACCATAAGCCAGAAAGCACAGGAACTGAGAAGTGGTCTGTGGTCACCACCTGCAGAACCACTCCTTTATTGGGGATGTCTTGCTAACTGCCTATGCTTTCCACCTGTTGCCTATTCCATTTGCACAACAGTATGTGAAATTGATTGTCAATCAGTGTTGCAACCTAAGTGGACAGTTTGATTTCACAGAAGTGTGATTGACTTGGAGTTACATTGTGTTGTTTACGTGTTTCCCTTATTTTTTTGAGCAGAGTGTGTGTGTGTGTGTGTGTGTGTGTGTGTGTGTGTGTGTGTGTGTGTATTATTCAGCTTTGTTTGGGTATTTTCCCATGTCATTATAGTTGTGCTTTTAAAGTTGTAGCGACGTTTCGGCAGAATCTCATCTGCCATCATCAGGCTTCTGTATTGTGTTCGTCTGTGAGTCAGGCTTTCACAGCAATTTTTGTTTTACATTTTGTGCTAGCCTACGCTGTGCCAGAATGGTTTTTTCTTCATTCTGATTGGTTGGGAGTCTTAGTCTGTGTTTATTGGTCTTGGAGTTTGCTGTGTTCTGCTTGATTGGTGTTTCTAATATCTTCTGTCTGTTTTGTAGCTTTTTTTTTGGTCTTGATTGGCTGGCAACATTGTGCTTCCTGTATTGGAGGCTTTTAGTGCGTATTTTAGTACCATTCCTAGATGTAACTAATCTACAAAAAACAGATAGCACACTAGGACACACCATATACCAGAAGAAAACACATACCAACCGCTCCCTAATGCCCAACCCCACCACCACCCAGCACAGATAAACTCCGTGTCCAAAACACTAATTGCCAGAACCAAACGCCTGGCAGACAAGACACACATAAAGACTGAACTATGCACCCTGACTAAAGTACTGACAGCCAACGGCTTCCACAAAAGCAAAATCTCTGGCTTGATCCACAAAATCACCCTGAGACATAATGGAGACCTAGAAGATGAACAGACCTATGAAACAGCTGCCCTGCCCTACGTAAGAGGTACTACAGACAAAATCAGTAAGATACTACACAGGCATCACATCAAGACTGCCTTCAAAACAGACAGAAAAATAGCAGCCATCCTAAGAAACCCCAAAGATAAAACTGACCTGGAAAACCAAGGCATATATGAAGTGCCCTGTGCATCATGCCCGGCCACATACATTGGACAGACCAATAGAAGAATAAGTACCTGCCTAGATGAACACAAAAATGCAGTAAAAAGCTGGAACACACTTCCTCACTAGCCCTTCCTCACATGAAAGCCACAGAATTATCAGAGAAGCCATAGAGATTGAAAAAAGACCTGAAAGCATGAATAGAAGAGATGATTCCACCAGACTGTCAATTATCTGGAATCCTGCACTCTCAAACAAAAAAATCTCCACACCACAAGCCAGGCAAACACCTGGGCACAAGCAGACTCCCCCTGATACCTCCAGCTCAAACACACCCCAACCAGGCACCCAGATGAAACCTAGCTTCCTAATAAATGATAGCTGTCCGTTTACTCAGAGCCAAGCCACAGTAAAAGCCTCCAATATAGGAAACACAATGTTGCCAGCCAATCAAGACAAAAAAAGCTACAAAACAGACAGAAGATATTAGAAACACCAATCAAGCAGAACACAGCAAACTCCAAGACCAATAAACACAGACCAAGACTCCCAACCAATCAGGATGAAGAAAAAGCCATTCTGGCACAGTATAGGCTAGCACCAAATTTAAAACAAAAATGGCTGTGAAAGTCTGACTCACAGATGAACACAATACAGAAGCCTGATGATGGCAGATGAGATTCTGCCGAAACGTCGCTACAACTTTAAAATCACAACTATAATGAGGTGGGAAAATACCCGAACCAAGCTGAATACCATACATATAAATACCTGCGAAAACTTACACACATGCAGGACTTGGCATGTTTGGGTCTTTTCCCATGTAAGATTGAGAGCATCCTGGCAACGTTTCGACAAGGTCCCACTCGCCATCTTCAGGTTGGTGCTTTCGGCTTCCTGCTTGTGCGAGCAAATCGTGATCGGAGCTGCTGTCTCCCTATATATACTGGTGGGGAGGTTGGCTGTGTTGTCATTTCTTGATTGGTTAATGGAGTTGATGTTTGCAGATTGGCTGGCATGTGTGACTGAAGTATTGGCTGTGTCTATCAGCCTCCTGTGTTATAATGACCTGGGTCATGGCCTGTGTGATGACCTTCTGAGTTCTATTGTCATCACACAGCCCATGATCCTGCTTTCCCCCCCACCCCTCTGGGTGTATCAGCCAATGAAACACGTCCATAGCCAAGAGTCATCAATCATGCTCTCCAATTAGATTTTTGCATGGCAGAAGCTGCAGTCTTCTAATCAGTCTTTGAATAAAATATGAATGGAATGTACTTTCGATTCCACACTGCTGCCTGCTTTTTGAAACTCCCCCCCCCCTTCTTTGTGTTGTCAACTATAAAACATGTACACAAACTGTTTTATGAGTTGACAGACTACCTGTACTCGCAATGACAAAAATCAACAATCCCCCACTCTCAAGGAAAAGAATATCATTAATTGAGTTAAACAGTTCATTTTCCCTTTCCCAGTTTTAATAAGGAAGGCAATAAAACCTCCACCTACTATAATTTGGTAAGATGATCATATTCAGAGGCACCATGCATAGCATTACACTTCCAAGAGCAATGAAAGGGACTTCATAGCCAAAACTCTGGTACAAAAAGCCACCAATTGGAGGACCCAATACTAATCCCAATCCGGTAAAAACTTCAAGAGTGCCCTAAAAAGAAAGAAGAAACAACCATGCAGTAAGAAAGGATGGACTTTGGGCATCAGAAGAAACCCACAGGTTTATTAACAAGAGTGCTCTATAAGAAAGGATTGCATCAGTGGTGGTATTCAGCTGGTTCGCACTGCTTCGGGCGAACCGGTAGCAAGGATTTGGCATGGGTCGCCAAACTGGTAGTAACTTCTGGCTGGCCACACTCCTGACCCAGTTGCCCCTCCCCTCCCTGCCCATCAGTCCTTATCACGCATGCGCAACATCGCATACATGCCTGACATCGCTGACTGTGTTCTTCCCTGCCCAGTCACTCCTTAAGGTATTTCTTTCTTTTTTCCCTTTTTTCCCAACAATCAGCTGTTCCTACCATCAGCTCTGCCAAGATTCCCCTCACTGTCTTACTTCTTCCTTGAGGCCCAGGAAGACAAAAAATGGAGGGGGGGGCGCAGCTCTCCCACCCACCCCCCGCGCTCCATTTTTTGCCTTCCTGGGCCCCATGGGAGCAAAAATGCCCTCCAGAAAGCTTTCCCGAGGCCCAGAAGGTCCCAAAATGGAGTGTAGGGGGATGCTGTGTACCCCTATCAGGCTCTGGTTTTTTCCTTCGTGGGCCCCAGGGAAGCCTTCTGGGAGCAAAAAGGCTCCTCCAGGAGGCTTTCCTGAGGCCCAGAAAGCACTCCAAAATGGGGGGGGGGGCGCTACATAAAAAAAGCCACAGCCACTCAGTCACATGGCCACGGCCACCTAGTCATCCCCACAGAACCGGTAATAACATTTTGTGAATCCCATCACTGTATCGCATGTAGTTTGTTGTATGTAACATGTGCACAGAACTCCACTACAAGTGTTTGCTGGCACATTTTAAAAGAGCTGATCATTATTGTGACTGATTAAAACTCTGCAAAACAAAATGGCATCCTGCTTCACTGACTTGCTGTGTCATTTTAAACAACAGCTTCACTGGCCTGCCATGGCTTTTCAGGACACATCACTGAAAACCTTTCCTCTGAGCTCACTTATGCTTTAGTTAGGATTAGGGTTGTGCTGCATCTTAATTAAGCCTGGGATATGCCAGTTTGGTCTAGTGATTAAGGCACCAGGCTAGAAACTGGGAGACTATAAATTCTAGTCCCACCATAAGCACAAAGCCAGCTGGATGACTTTGGGCCGGTCACACTCTGTCAACCCCAGGAAGAGTCAATGGCAAATCATTTTGAAACCTTGCCAAGAAAAATGCAGGAACTAGTCCAGGCAGTCAATTAATGCTGACTTGAAGGGGAAAAAAGATTATTAAAAGAATTATAGTCTAGTTAACTTTTCTAGCCTCCTAGATTAACTACAGAGATTATTCTGAATTGTTACCTATTAAAGGTCATCCAAGAAGCTGGCAAAAGAACAGGATCTTTCACTTCAGTGAAATATACATATAATTTAGGGTTTTTTTTGTAATTTTCAAATAGTGTCTTCATTAAAAAATTTCTATTAATTAATGAGTTGGATTTTTTTCTCTGCCTCTGCTTGTTGCTTTATATTATGTTCCTAATTTTACTCTGAATTGCTCCCTATCCTCATTTTGAGCTCTAAAATGTTTCTGTTTGTTTAGCACTTAACATTAATGCAAGTGTTTGATGTTTTAAAACATTCTTTCTAGGATCCTTAAAGAGTATTTTTCTGAAGTGTGGAATAAAAATAGAATAAAATAGAAACGATCAGCAAGCCAAGGATCCTTGTGCTACTATTAGTATTACTACTAGTATTATTAAAATTCATTATAAACTGCCCCCTCTCATAGACTCTGGACCACTTACAAACACAAAAACATTGCAAGCATTTAAAAACATACAACACCCACAGGCATCTTGAACCAAAATAATCACAATGATAACACACTAGATCAGGACTCCCACAAACACATTAATCCCAGTCCTGACAACAAAGGAAGGTCTCACAAGCTTTCTGGAACCCCAAGAGAGAAGCTGCTGTTTATCTCTGAGGGAATGTTGTGAGCATGAGGGCCACCCAGAGAAGACAAACTTCTTTGTGTCTTATGGAATCCATAAGATATCAACGTTTAATAAATGGGATCTGGAATATACATTCTTTGCCGGAACATATTAGGTGGGGACAGGGGTGGACTTCAAAATTTTATCAAGGGGTTCTCTGCCCAGTTTCTGGGTGGGCATGGCCATGGTGGGCATGGCCCATCAGCCTCCTGCACCATGGCAGGGGGGGGTGTTTTTGCCCACCCCAGGCTCTGCAGGCTCTCCCCAAGCCTCCGGGAGGGCGAAAATGGTCTCCTGGGGCTCTGGAGGCTCTTTGGAAGCCAGAAATGGGCCTATTTCCAGCCTTCCTGAACTTCTGGGAGGCCTGTTTTTCACCGTCCCTGTTAGGAATATAAGTCACCTAACAGATATTTGGGTTAGAAATATATAAACCAGGATAAACATTTTAAAACTGTATCTTTAAGAGATTGCAAAAACTGCAATTGGGTATGGCTTTTCAAATGGCCATAAGATGGAGCCAGAAACCTGGGTTGTCTTAGTCTGAGTCTCAGAAGAGAGTGTATCTCTGTTTCCTTCTGTTGGAAAGTATTGCTGTTGCTCCATTTCTTCCAATTGACTGATATTACTGGAATTTAAGTCTGATACTGAACTGTTTTTGACACTGGAATTTGTTATTGGATTATCCCTGGACTAAAAACTGACTGATCTTACCTGTAAATGATTTTTGGACTGCTTATTTTGAACTTTGCTTAACATTTCTGGAAGTAAAAACCTACATTTACTGTACAGTGTATCTGTGTGCTCTGTGTGTATTATTCCAACACTACTCTCTATGTCTCCCTGTATGCGCTCATTCTCCTAACAGGGAATTACCTCAACACTGGTTATGGGCCCAGGCCATATCAGGCTCAGATAACAGAGTTAGTGTGAATGCACAGTACTGTATACAGACAGATGTTTACTGTTTAATTGTGGGTTACTATCCTGGTAAAGATGGCACAAGACACTTCAACAAGTCTATCACTGATAACCCGGTTGGATGGAACAAACTATGTTTCCTGGTCTATGAAGTGCACTCTACTTCTGCATAGAGAAGGTTTATGGAATGTAGTTCAAGACCCACCGGATGTAAATGAATGGGATACAGAAAATGAGGACGATGCCAAGAAGCTTGCTGACTTTAAACAGAACAATGAATGAGCTCTTTGTATAATTGGACTAACACTGAGTGACCAGCAGCTAGTCCATATTCATGGAGAAGAGTCTGCTGCTAGGTGTTGGGAGAATTTGCAGAGGATTTATGTTCGTGACAGTGTAGGTGCACATATACATCTTACACGTAAACTGTTTAGAACACGTCTTCTGAAAGGTGGAGATATCTTAGCTCATTTAAACTTCATGAAAAGAACTTTTCAAGAGCTACATGAAAAAGAACTGATATTTTCAGAGCTGCATCAAGTTTACATCATTCTTTCCTCATTGGATGAAAGTTATGATGATTATGTATCTTCACTGGAAGTCCTGCCCAGAGATAAACTGACATTAACTGACATAACTGGAAGACTGTTAGAAGAAGCAAGAAGATGGCTGGATGGGGACCAACTGAGAAAGGAACAACCACAAGAAGAGAATTTGTCTTCAACTGCCTATACTGTTAGGAACTGTTTTTCTTGTGGGGCTAGGGAACATATATTTAAATTCTGTAAGAAGGGATTTCTTCTGTTATTTTGGTAACCAATTTCCCAAATTTCCCTCTCCTCAGCTGAATTTCTTGTTATTCCCAAAGTACATAAAAGCGTATTTATTATCTTAAACAAAAACATGTTTTTCTTGGCATAAATAGCGTTCTTGTGCTCAAAAATAATGCATATTATTTAATTACTTTGGTTGTGACTGAACATCTTCTGCACTAAATTTAAAAGCTAGCTTATATTAGAACAGAACCGCCCTTTGATTTAATTAGGTTATCCATAGACAATCAAAAATACATGGGCTCATCAATTCATTTTTCTGGATAAACTTTTTCTCAAGGGAGTTCAGTGTATTGTAGCCTTTCTATGAACACAAGACAGGGGTGTTGAGCCACAGTTAGATGGCTTCCAGACAGTCTTACGTTTCAGCCGCTTCTCAGATGGGGGAGCCGCTTCCGTAACTTCCATGGTTCCTGCCACTGCTGCCGCTGTTATTGGAGACGGCACTGGTGAGAGAAGGACAGCTGCAGCTCGGCCTGGCGCTTGGAATGCAGGAACGGGCTGTGCACCGGAACTTTTGCAAACTTGCAGAGCCCGAGGCTGGAACACCAAGGGTAGCAACAGCAGAGACACTCGCTCGGCTTTTCTCACACCCACCCAGCCGCTCAGGATTAAACCAAAACGCAGCGTGCGGGGCTCCCAGGTACCTCAAAAATTTTTTTTTTCCCTGTTGTTACGGGGACGGGGGGAAATGGGAGCGACTCAGACGCTGTTGTTGGAGGTGGTGCTGGCGAGAGAGGCGCCAGCACCGGTGGGAACTGTGGAAGCTACGGAGGCCTGAGAAGTGGCTGAAACGCTGTTGGACATCCATGCTGATGCCACCCACCTGCTGATCCAGGTAAGGGAGGGATAAGGGAGGAGTAAGGGAGCCCTCTGTGCTCCACCATGGTGTTAGGAGTGGCTGATGGTGAGGCATAGCTGCCCGTGGAGCACTCCTAATGGTAAGTTCCCCCCTGCCTTCCCTCCCCAATTTCGCATGTTTTAAACTAGGCCTAAATTTGGGGGGACAGGCTTTATTTCATTTTATGCCTAGAAAACATGCTGGGTCTTCCTATTGGGGGCGTATTGTTGGAGAAACATGATAGATATACATTACATGGGCATTACTCTTAAATAGCCATTCATCTGGCTCTGCATCCTAGCATAGCTAGGATGATTTTCTCAAAAATCATCCCATATTACATGGTTTTGATTGGCTTCATACATACCACAACCGTAGCTACATTTTGTGGGAAAGCATTTATGAGAATAGAAAATGAGGCTGTCGCTGCAGCAGCAAAACCAATGGCATCCATTGCTCGGACCAAAAAACACAGCCCTATGAATATTGGCCCATCAGGTGCTCTGTGCAAAAATCTAAAGAGAAAGATATAGCGAATCACTCTATCGCTTAAAGCAGAGAATCCTGCTTTAATAACAGATGTTATTTAGATAGATGGCAAAGTTGTGGTATATTGACTGGTTTAGCAATATTCTACTATAGAATAAAATAAAAGTAATTTGTATTTTCAGCAATGTTCCAAATCTTAGAAGTACTAAGAAACATTTCATCCTGCTAAATTTATCAGGGTCAAGGTAATTGCCGGAGACTTACAGACTAATACCAAATGGAATGGAGGAAAAAAAAACTACTACTGCTTTTCAAAGGAAGTAAAACAATGAACTCCAGAGATTACCCATCCTTTCCATCAGCGAGTCTGGTTAATAAAAGAAAAAAGTAAGTAGATACATATGCTAAAATAAAATAGCCATAGAAACACAATGCAGCTTTTAGGAAAAGACACTGCATAAAAGAAATATTTATACTCACTCACCCGAAGAGAATCGTGACACATCCTGAGACGAACATGCCAGCAATAAACATAAATTTTGCTCCAATCTGTACAAGCTGTAAATTATTAAAAAATAAATTATTGTTTTGGAAACTTTCTTACATTTTAGAAACAAATGATATATTGACATAACTACATTTGTAACATACAAATCAATCTAATTTTATACAGTGAAGTAAACTAGTGCAATTAACCGTTCTTTACTATTACTAACAGTTCATACATTAATGACATGATGAAACTTTATGAACTACCATAGTATCAGTATAGTAATAATGCTTATGATCACCAAAGTTTATTGAAAAGATCTAGAAAAAGTGACTGACCCATTAAATATTTTTAAAATGGCAAATGCATACCGTGAATCTAATTCTAAATTCACAGCAGGATAAATTGGACCTGATATTGCTGAAGCACCATGGAAAAATCTTTAAATTTCACAGGAAATGCAAGTTATGGTACACTATCAGGCAAAATTTTTGAGCTCTTAGATTTGGTAAGTTCCCCTTCTATCTCACTATAGAAGTGAGAAACTTAATTTATCTAGTTGGCTATCAGCCAGTATTTTCTGGGCAGCACCTCTAGAGATGTTCTTAAGATTCCAATACACATATAATGAGGCAATTGTTCACATTAACTAAAGTCATGTAAAACGTGTAAGTTAAAGCCAAGACTTTAAATTGTACTATGAAACTGATTGGATCCAGTGAAACAGGAAATGTAAGAGCGTGCCTCTTTCTTGGGCTTGGGCTTCAAAAGAAACAAGTATGAGACTTTCATGAACAAAAAAAGTATGGCCAATGTCATAACATTATTGGGCAGCAGGGCCCAAAATTTTCAAAACTGAAAAATTCAGATGTGGGAATATTTTTGTTTTTCTCATATAAATGAGATAGGTTGGTGCCTTAGATTATTTCTTGCTTTTTATGCCAATTTTATTATATTTCCTTGGTATCCTCTGTTTTGTAAACTGCCAGAGTTGCATATTGTATTGTAGACCCAAATATTGCCATAATATGGCAGAAATATAACTTTCAATTAATTAATTGATTTACTTGTTCTTCAGAACTAGCTATGATTTCCAAATAATCTTATAGGTCCGTAAGTGGGGTCCCTCACGGGTGGGATGCTACCGGTTCTGCCCGGTTCTATAGAGCTGGTAGCTCTGAAGAGCAGCAGACACCAAACCGGTTCTGTGTTTGCTGCTCTTTGGCCCACCTGCCTGCCTGGGCTCTTACTGTCCTTTATTTTCTGCTTTTTCAACCTCAGCTGCTTTGCACGGCACAGCTGAGGTTGGAAAATCAGGGAAAAAGAGGCTTTTCAAATGCTGTGCACCTGCGTGCAGCGCTTTTCAGCTATCCAGGCAGCACAGCTTAAAGTTGTTTTACATGCACGTGCAAAAACGTCACCAAACCGGTAGTAACATCAGTTGAATCCCACCCCCTGGGGTCCCTATGATTTCTGGTGGGATCAGGATAGGGATAGTGCAACTCTCTGGATCCTGCTTGACCTCTCACTGGTTTTGATACCATCAATTATACTATCTCACTGGGCTGTCTCTAAAGTTTAGGAGTGAAAAGCCTAGTGCTTCTCTTCCTTCCTGAAGGGATGGTCCAAGTCAGTGAAGATGGTGGGAAAAGACTGACTGACACACACACACACACACACACACACACACACACACACACACCAGGTACATCCAATGCTACAAGGCTCACTGTTTTTTCTACTCTGATTCAACATTTACAGGAAACCATTGGATGAGACCATCTATTGATATGTAACCATGTTTCAACAATAAACTGATGAAATCCAGTTGTACATCTTAACCCCCAGTTAAATAAATAATATTGTCAAAGTGCTATGCAACTGAACAACTGAAGTGAACTCTACATTAGGCTGCCTTTGAAGAGCATTGGAAGCTAAGTTACTCCAGAATCTAGCAGCTTGAGTAACTAAGGATGCGTTTTAAAGGCACTCATATAAGATTTCTACTATGGGACCTGTAGCAGATATTTGTTAATTTCCAGGTACAATTCAGGATCCTGGTTGTCATCTTCAAAGCTCTTAATTTTGGGCTTGGGTAATTTAACCTGTTGTCATTAACATCTGCCTGCCAATAGCAATAGCACTTAGACCTATATACCGCTTCACAGTGCTTTACAGCCCTCTCTAACCTGTTGTAATGACTAGGCAGTCGAGTTGTTTGATCATGAACAACTGAACATGATTATCTTTATTGGAGTCTAGTCTTGCATTTATACACATTTTTAGTTATCCTCCATCACTGGTTAACTTTGGTTACTGCTTAACTTTGGTTACTGTTTAGCACAATAATCCATACAATTAATTATCTCTAGTTAAAGTCTAACATATGTTTACTTCCTCTCTCTAATCCTCCTTTAGATTAGTGACTTTGTTTGCCTGAGTTGTATTTGCTTGGAAACATTCTTTATCTGAGGTTTGCCATCCGAGATTGGAACATTCCTGCAATTACAACTCTACACGAACCATTTGCCCCCAACAATCTGGGTCATCTTACCAACCTCAGAAGGATGGGAGGCTGAGTCAACCTTGAGCCTGGTGAGATGTGAACTGCCCCTTTGCAGACAGACAGCAGTCAGCAGAAGTAACCTGCAGTACTGTATTCCAACCACTGTGCCACCACGGCTCATATAAGATCTAATAGGATGGAATCATTAAGTCAGTGGTGGCTAATTTGGGCTCCCAGAAGGCAATGTGTGTGGCCCCCTCCATGACCCCTGCACATGTGCACACGACCCCCCGTCTGCCCCACGCATCTCTACGCATGCGATACCCCCCACGCCCCATGCGTCTCTGCACATGCACGCGCATCTCTTGAGCACCCCCGGGATGTGTGCCAGATAACCGACAATCTGCTGGCAGGCAGGCAGCACACCCACATGCGCAGTGGGGCTCTTCTGGGCGACATCTCACATGCTGGCAGAAGTGGCTTTGCGTGCCACTTCCAGCATGCGTGCCATCATGGCACTAAGTGTTCTACTGATTAGAATTGTCATCTTAAAGTATGTGTTCAGTCAATATCACCATCCTCTGGAATATTTTCTCTGATGTGAGATCAATCTCTTCCTTCTAGGATTTTTTTTTTTTTTAAAGTATATACTTGGCTATGTTAAGCCTAAGGAATGGGTGCCAGGCTGTTGCAATTACCCTTCAAATTGATAGATTGGTCTTTATTCTTACTGTAAATGTTTTAGTCATAACTCCTGATTGTATAAGAATATAAAATATTATTTTAAATTTTGGTTGTAATGTGTAAAATGCAGTATATTGTGGAGTTATATTGTACACAAAGATGGTAGATTGGAGCAGCCTAGAAACTAGGTAGATGAGACGAAAAGAGGGGGGAAGTGAAAATTTTGCTTGCTACAGATTTGCACTTGTTTATCTGGTAGGAGAGATTGAACCATTGCCATTGATATTCTTTCTGTTGCCCTTGGGCCATGAATTAAGATTCTCATATAGTCCTGAATTCCTTAAGTTACTACATAACTTAAATGTTTTTTTATTTTTTATTTTGGAGACCTGTTGAGAGAGTCAATTTTTACAGAAATCTAAGGGCACATGTTCAACTGACAATATTTAATTTAATATTACTTAATATGTGCTACCATTTAGAAAGCTGACTTTTCCCAGGCATAGTGTTTACAGGTCTGTTTAGAACATTATGATCTATTCCACTGATGTAATGACCTTTTTATTTATCAGGCTATATGATATTTTTGCTTAGTTATCGTGGTATTTTTGAAGATACTTACATATTTTCCCATTATCAACGATGTCAGGAAGTTGAATAATGCAAAACATCCAAAAATAAATCCAACAATGGTACTACTAACTCCTTTCTTTTCTGCCTTAAAAAAGATCAAATACAAAAACTTAAAAAACAAAAGCCTGTGGAATGCACAAAATAATTTCATAACTCAAATTTTACAAAAGGGCCTAAAGGCACTTGGCCTACCACAATACCATAGGAAACGTATGCCTGACTGTTATATAATATACATGTCTCTTGTCTTATTTGTTTTGTATAATTAGCATTTTTTGTGATATGGTTATGTTTATACACTCCCTTTTACCTGTAAGTCTTACAGTATGGTGAAAAATGATTTCAGCATTTCTCAAGTATAAAATAAGAACAGGAAAAAGTGGTATGGTGGCCTAGTGGTAAAGATGCTCACTTTCTACTCAGAAAGTTAAGAGTTCAATCCTAGAGAACAGCAGACATTTTTCTCTTAGAGTGCAAAAAAAAAAAAAAAATCTGCTGCAAACTCCACATGGCATCAGGAAAGGCATCTGGACTGTAAATGCAGGGGGTTGGATTAGATGACCTATGAGGTCCCAACTCATTATCTGTTATCTGCTCAATTCCTCTCTGTCAGCCCAGCTTTATTCTGAATTAAACAGGGGTGTCAAACTTGCTACCTGCAGTCTGGATGTGTCACGCACTGGCCATGCCTACTCCCGTTTTAGTGAAGGGGAAAAAATTGTGCTACATTACATGTCATCACAACTTCGACATCCCTGGACTACGGAGTCGCAAAAAGCAAATAAATAAATAAATAAATAAATAAATAAATAAATAAATAAAGGAAAAAGGAAAAACAAATTTTAATGCATGAATGCCTGTGGCATTGGAATGGTGGCAGATATTGAAAAGTGGTATGAATTATGTCCGTTTTTTGCTGCTTTTGGTACCCCATTTCTCTGGGTTCAGTCATTTGTATAATTATTTTTTCTCAGCTTAGTTGAATGTTTAGCAAATGCTAACAATTTGAGAAAAACTGCACATATATAATGTATGAGTGATTGTACTGTTTATCGCACACCAAAAAGAACATTGTTACAGCACATTGAGGTGATGCAATCATTTGTAACGCATATCCATGATTATGCAAGCGGTTTCTGAGTATGAAAGCAAAGCGAACCTTCTAGTTCCCTTTTCAAAACCAAGCAGCACAATGGTGCTCAGTCCTCAAAGAATGCAACTATACAACTTTGTAGAAACTGCTTTTAAAAGGCTGCTTAAACTCAGTGGAAATCTAATCCAACCGAGAGGCAAGATGTTTAGAAGAATTGCACATATTTGGTTTTTAAAAATAGTAAATAGACAAAGAAAAAAAGCTCATGATATAATTATTTTAAACTAATTCAAAACTACATCAACTTTTTAAAACGTAATTATTATGTTGCTCCTACATATGTACTAGATTGAGGATGGAGACAAAACAATTTTTGTAGCAACAGAAGTTTACAAAGTGTGTGAGTTTTTGTATTTCCTGAACTAAAAATACAAGAGCAAACGAGTCTTTGTTAGATGCACTGCTATGTCACAGAGACCATCATTAAAGAATCTTATTGCAGACTTCTGTTTTAAACACATACATCCATTTACCTCTTTTGGAAAAAATGGTCCCAGAATCGAATAGCAAACCATTGAACCGAAGTTGAGGGATGCTGCTGATATCATGATAAACATCTGCTCTCTGCTTAGCCGCTTTGGTTCCTCATTGGCAATCTGCGATCTGTCATTATCTGAGTAGCAAAAATCTCTCTTAGAAAAGGGAATGTAGCCTTCAAAACTAATAGAACCAAACAAGTACCGGTTTCTGACACCAATCAGCTAGCCCAACCCCCCCCCCAAATGCAGAACCTTATACTTCAATAGGGGTACACTTCGTTCCATAATTTGTCCCAAATCTATTCACATGACTACAGTTCTGATATAAAGCTGTAGTGAAAACAAGAATAAAAGATTTCTAAAACACACTAACTAGATAGTGCATTCTTGAGCAAAGTCTAGAAATACAGAGATTAATATTCAAAATCTGTCTTTCAGTTTGGTTAAGAATGTGAGAATTCTGCTGTACTTTAGTCTCTGCTAATCCAGAGCCCTCCAAATGTGTTACAGCTTCTAGAATTCATATGCTAACTGGAAACTTGAGAAGATTCAGTCCAAACAGTTGAAGAGCACCTGATCGGGAAAGACTGCATTGGTATCAGATTTTTGAAACTAAAATATTTGTCTTGAAATGCTCCAGACTAAATATTAGGTGTAAACTAAGCAATTAGAGAAGAAAAATATGATCAGGATAATATTTATATTTAATTTAACCTTCTAAGAAGTTATTATTTTACATATTTACAATTCAAGTCAGTGCTTCTTTATTCAGATCAAGCATAATGTAATATTGATTTTAGGTGTCTTCATGTACCCTTGACTCTTGGTGAATTAATGGACAGACTCCTGCAGTTTCTTAACAACATTTTCCAGAAGTGATTTGCATTTGCCTCTTTTCTAGCACTGAGAGAAAGTGACTAACTCAAAGTAACTTAACTGGCTTCAGCCTAAAGACGACTACTCACTTAATGGTTTTCATGATAGTTTCATACTCCTCTCTCCCCTCTCCCTCCTTCCTCTCTCTCTCCCTCCTCTCTCTCCTCTTATATTTTGAAAATGGATTGGTTTTTTCCCCTTCTTTTTATCTATTCTTTTCTCCTTTTTGACTTTATAATATTTTAAGCCAGAGACTCCCTTTTAGTTATTTTTTTTAATCTTTTTCTTTTTTTAATTAATTCTTATTATATTTTACTTGGAAAAGGAGGGGGAAAGTGAAAGCTAAAGAAACTTTGTAACATTGCCAACTAGAGGCTTGGAAATATTCTATCTCTCTTTTGACCAAGATAAAGCTGAGAAAGAACTGAGACTTCTTTTCAAGGACATCACCTGTTTGATAAGATAGAGGGAAGAGCATGGGAGAGTATTATTGCAGGTGCTCTTCTGGATTTCTATCAACAGCTGGAGTCTGGTGTTGAAGCTTATAGGAAAAGAAAAGGTGGTAAGTCTTTGGAAAAGAGAGTTATAACAAGAGCCTTGGATAATTAAACAAAGTACAGTGTGCTCTTTCTAATTTTTCTAAGCTATGCTACCCCTCCTCATCAGTTTACTTTTTTTTGTAATAGCTATTTGGATTTTCGGCTCTTTGGAACTTGTCTTTGTTTTTTTTCTTGTCTTTGGAAGTTAAATTTCTACACTTGCTTTTTATTTTAAAGGAAAAGTTTTCATATTAATATTTCCCTTCTTTTTCCTTTTAAGGGAGTAGCCTTTCTCTCTCTCTCTCCCTTTCTGGTATTTTTGTCTTTCCATCTACCTTCCATATTGATTTTTTATTTCTTTTTTTTTTGGTTTATTTTTTATGCATCCTTTTATATTTGAGACCTCTTAATTGGATTAAGGTGTTGAAGAACCTGAAGAATTTTTCCTTTCTTTTTTTAGCTTTTTATTCTTCACTTTTTCACCCTTTTTAGGATTTTACTACTTTTTCTTTTGTGTGTGTGTTTATGGTCTTTTCCTTCAAAAATTCATTTTTGAATTTTTATTATCTAACCAACCAATTGGATTAAGGTATACAAGAACCTGAAGAGTTTTTTTCTTTTTTTATTATTATTACTATTTGGCTTCTTTTTTCCTACTATTTTTATTTGGAACTGCAATTGGTTATTTCACAATTGGATTAAGGTCTAGAAGAACCTGAAGATTTTGAATTGCTCAAAATGAGTAGGAAATTAACAGCTCCTGGTCCCTCAACTTCTACTTCTTCCTCTCCACCATCTCCACCATCTGGATGACAACGTTCAATACAGACAATGTTAAGGCAAGAAAAAGAACAAGAAAAAATGACCCTACAGATGATTATGCAAGGAATTCAAAATATTCAAACAAGATTCAGAGAATATTGAAAAGAGAATAGAGAACATTGAACAAAGAACAGAGAATATTGAACAAAGAACAGGGAAAACCAATGTAAAAGTGGAGAACATCCAACAAATGATGATGAAGTATGATGAGAGACTTCAAAAAATTGAAGAAGATAAACAAAGAGACAAGATTGGAGACATTGATAACAGATTAACTGTGGTTGAACAAGATAAAAGTGGTATGCTGAGATGGGAGATGGGCAGATCAGAATTTTATCTTAGATTCCAAAACATAGAGGAAGAAAAAGGACAAAATCTAGCTGAGATAATGATAGAAATATTGGCTGAAGCTTTGGAAATATCAAAAGAGAAGATGATGGATGGAATAGATGAGGTTTATAGAGTCTTCACAAGATATACGATAAGAAATAGCTTACCAAGAGAAGTTCACATCAGATTTACAAAGAAAGCCATTAAAACACAAATATTGCAAGTGGCAAGAGAGAAAACATTGAAATACAAAGATAAGGAGATTGTGGTCTTGAAACAAGTACCTAGAAAAGTGAGAGAGATGAGAAGGGAATACCGATTCTTGACCAAATTGTTACTTAAAAAAGAGGTGAATTATAGATGGCTGATTCCAGAAGGTTTAATGTTTACATGGCAAGAACAGAGATATAGAATTGATTCAAGAAAGCTGGATCATTTTACACAGAATTTTTCAGAGGGGAAGAAGAGGCAGAAAAAGAAATTTCATTAATTGAATTCCAAGAGGGCTCCCAAATGACAACTGAAAAAGAAGAAGGTGCAGTAGGTGGAAAGGAGGAAGCTAAAGAACGTGAACCAAGATCCACGAGAGCTGTCAAACCTAATTACAAAATATAACCATGGAAGAGAAAAAATTGATTACAGTTAATATAAATGGACTTAACTCAGCCGTTAAAAGAAGGAAAATCTTTCATAAATTAGAGAAATTAAAATTTGATATAATCTGCCTACAAGAAGTACATATTAAAAAACAATATGAACAATTGTTGATACAGCCAAAATTAGGGAAAATATTCACTTCCTTGACACAATGTAAGAAAAGAGGACTGGTTTTATATATTAAAGAGACCATCTCAGCAAAATTGATTTATACTGATAATGATGGAAGAATATTAATGGTGGAAATAATGGACAATAATACAAAAACACTCCTGATTGCAATCTATGCCCCAAATGACAATCAAGAAGAAGTCTATAAAAAAATTACATATGAAAATAGTTGAACTGGATTATGTTAATATAGTTATGATAGGAGATTTTAATGGAATTGTAGACAATAAACTGGACTACACAACACAGAAAACAATAAAGCAAAATAGAAAGACTCTCCCTAAATCTTTTTTTTTAAATGATAGATGAAATAAACTTAAAAGATACATGGAGAGAAAGAAATGCTAAAACTAAACAATACACCTTCTACTCAAATAGACACTTATCATGGTCCAGAATAGATATATGGATGTCAACAGAATTGTTAACTAATATTCCAGAAATAAATATTGAAACAAGTACTTGGGCAGATCACAATCCAATGACATTTAAATGGAAAGGACAAAGAAGAAGATCTAGATGGACGTTAAATAATACTATTTTAAAGGGAGAAGCAAAGAAATCTTGTCTTGCCAAGAAAAGTATAGGACTTGGCAAGAAAACTTAGGCACCCTGACAGGAATCAATAGCATTGCATAGCCTCTTTCGAAGGATAGAGCAGTTAAAATCCACTGGCCTTACATATGATCAACCATGTGGAGAACGCAGGGCTACTTGTAATTCCGGACTGACATTCCTCCGATGGGAGCACTGAGGAGAGGGGAGAAAAATACCCCAGGAATGGCGACAACGGCTCTGGCCCCTCTCACCTGGACTCTCGCCCTCCGGGGGACCCACCGCTTGGTAGCTTTCCATAGCCGCGGATTTCCAGCTGTAAAGCGGCTTGGAAAGGAGCGGAGGCTTAGCCTCCCTGCCTGCCTGTCTGTCTTCTGGAGGTCCACCCTCACAGAGTCGGTAAAGTTCAGTCGCCGCGGTCAGGAACTTTCTAAGCGCCACAAGAGGTCCAGAGCATGCAATTCCGATTCAGCCGGAAGCCGACATTTAGCCAAGGCTGGGATCCCTCCTTTTAGTAAGCCCGCTGCGATTAGGAAATTATCTCATACTTACTCACCGGTTAGCAAGCCAGACTTATTACTATGACGATAACCCAGGCACGGTTCAGCGCCCTTTTGAGATAAAGGGTGAAAGCTTTCTTTCGAGTTACGCTCTGCTCCCGCTGTCTTCTTTAACCGGTATTGCTTTCTTCCGGATTTTATTTATTTATTTTTCTTTACTTCCCAGTTGACGTTAAAAAAAACCCTTGATCTAAGTATTAAGTGGTCCTGCTTAGCTTTTTAATATCAACCAGAAATTAAGTAAATGAGAAATAAACAAATGGGATATAGCCGAACCTTAATTGTATTCTAATGGTCATTTGGAAATGCACTTAGTTTTATATATTTACACCAGGGGTCTTAAAACGACAGCTTTAAGACTTGTGGACTTCGACTCCCAGAATTCTTCCTCCAGTCATGTTAGCTCAGGAATTCTGGGAGTTGAAGTCCACAAGTCTTAAACTGCCCGAGTTTGAAGACCCTTGATTTACACTACACTGCGGTTTAAGTTAATGTATTGAATTCAAGCCAGTGTGGTTAGTAAGACATGATTTATGGCATATTAAAGTTGTCTAAATTCTTCCAAATGCCTTTTACAGTAAATTATGATTGCTTTTAGTGTTTTGCCTTACATTTTAGTGGGCATTTTCTGCCATTCATTCATGTATGCCAATTTATGGCTTATTTATCTACAATGTAGTTAATAAATTACAACTAATTAAAATCCTAAAACCTGCTTTACAAGCTATGTGTTCATTTAATATTTTACATCAGAAACTAGTCACATTAAGTTCAATGTTCCAGTCCAAATGTTGGCTATGTTTGTTATGCATGAGTAACAATTATGATTTATTGAAAATAAGTAATCTTGGTTCCTTTAGTAAACTGCACCATATTAACTGAGCACATGGGTTTGAGTTTGCATAATAGATTAAATGTGATTTGCTAGTTCGTGTTTCAGATAATCACGTAAACCCAGCAAATATGTTGATTTATTAGATTCAAATCCAGATTTCCTGCAGGAACACAAGATGTCCGAGATAGTGTTGCTTCCTCCCCCCCCCCCAAAAAAAATGATCCTGTAGGAGAGATAAGAGCTGAGAGAATCTCCCAGTATCAGTTCTGTTCTTTAACTAATGTACCATTGGAACATTTCATGTTATCCCTATATGGAAAAGAAGGTGCATAGAGTAATAATAATAAGGATCTCACAGATCATAAACCCAAAGAGAGTCTAAATGTTTTAAACTAAATTTGCTCTGTGAAAACAAAATATATTTCTATCTTCAAATCATTTCCATTACTCTATGTTCAGCAATACTTAATAATTATCAATCAGTCTCTAAACATCCCATTTGGGGAGTGAGAAGTTGTCTTCAAAGTGCCCTAATAGATGCAAATTGTCTAGACTCTTTTCAGTCAGGATTCAGGCCTGATCATGGAATGAAAATGGTATTGCTTGTTCTGGATGATGAATTGTATGTGTCAGGACCTGGAAGATAGTAATGTTCCACTTGTAATCCTGTTACATTGGTATTTTAATACCATGGTACTTTAATATGCTTCTAACCAATTTAAGAGTTACAGAATTTGAGGCACTGCTTTGCAGTGGTTCCACTCATTTCATGATAGATGGCTCCAGTTTGTTCCAATGGTGCAGTACTTGGTAGGTCATAGCAGGCTGACAAGAAACAAACAAAACCAAAAAATACAACTTCTTACCAAAGCTACTAAGTTCCAGACAAAGCTTCTTCTTCTTCTTCTTCTTCTTCTTCTTCTTCTTCTTCTTCTTCT